GGGGACGGGTCAGGGGGCCAGCCTGGGTACAAAGGCAAGGGGGACTGGGCGTCCTGGGGTGGGGAGGTAGAGCCCCCGCAGACCCAGCTGGTACCTACCTGCGGACGGGAGTGGTGCAGAGCCTGCAATGAGGGGGAAGGGAAGGGGGGCTGAGAGGAGCCCCGGGGAGGCCACGGGGCTCTCGGGGCCACACTACCGCGGTAATGACCGCTGAACAGGTGGTTGTGACGTTGGAGAGGTCTCCTGGACCTGCCTCCCTGCCGTGGGGTCAGCGCGGTCCTGCTCACTGGAAGGCCGAGGACCCGGGGCAGAGCCAGGCCGGGCTCAGCGCCTGCTCTGGAGTCTGTGCCAGCCGCATCCGCCACGGCATCGGCATCACCATCACGACACCAGGTCTGCCCAGGACGTCCCAGACTGACAAGGACACTGGACAAGGCAGCCTGCGCCCTTGCAGAGGCCCCTCACCCAAGCCCGGCAGGGGGACCCAGTGCGGCTGAGAAGTGGCAGAGTGCCCGGAGCTCCCGGAGGAATGTGTCCGGTCAGCAGGCTGCTGGGCCGGCCAGTGCGCCTGGAAGGAGGCTGGGACAGACTGAGGGCCCCAGTTTGCAGGCCAAATTCAGATTCACTCCCTGCAGCGGCTCCGGGGAGCGCCGGCCCCCGTGGGGAAGACCCTCCCCTGGGCCCCAGGCCCACGGCGGCCCTCTCCAGCCCCCCTCCCGCGCGTGCCCGCCACGCCGCACTCACTCTGCAGAAGCACAAGTTTCCACAGCAGGAGGCCGGACAGGAGCCCCATAGTGCCCAGGCCCGGCGCCCGGCGCTTCCTCCCGCGGCTTTGTCTCACTCCAGCTCCAACTCTCGGGAAAACAGCCCACCCTCCTCCCCTCCGCAGTCCCCGCCCACCCCGCCGCTCCAGCCCCTTGGCTTCCCCCCTCCCGGGCCAGCCGAGGGGAGGGACGGGGAGGGACGGTGGGGGTCAGCCCTCGGTGGAATGAGGCGCCCAGGGCGGTGCAGGCGGGGTCTGGGGCAGCTTCTCTCAGGCCCATCGAAGGACGAAGCCTGGAGTCTCAAACCCCTGACCTGGGTGACCAGCTCACTCCAGGAGAAAGGCCCCCTGCGGCCTGGGGCTGCCTCTGACCGGCATGTGCCCCCCCCCCCGCAGGACGCCTCTTGCACCCTCCCCACAGGTTAGGTTGTCCTTCCAGCGCTGGCCCCCCTTCCTGGGGGCCAGGGGTCCTCTTCAGGGCTAAGCGCAGCCGGCCGGGGGAGGCGGGCACTGGGTCCGTGCGTGGGGGGCTCTTCCAGGCCATGGGCTGCCCACCTGCAGAGCTTAAGAGGCCCTGAAACCTGACCTGGGTGACTGGGGGGAGGGGGGATTGGACAGCCCTCCCCTTCCCCCTGCCAACAGAAAGCACAGATTTGAGGCTCTGGGAAAATGTACAACGTCGCATAAACAGATGCGAAATGACAGAGCAGGCACTGTGTACCAATCCGCCCTGCTAGTTAGGCAAACCTCAGGACAAGAAAGAAACGGGAAAATCTAAACCACCACACAAGCCCTCTGCAGAGTCCCTGCCCAGCTGGAGGGACTGGTCACTTCAAGGGTCCTCACCTCAGTCCCGCCCAGTCCCCAAGGCCGCCTCTGCAGCTGTGGGGGGCAGGCAGGAAGGGGCCCCCAGAGCCTCACAGACTTATGTCCTCTCCAGGACTCCAGCCGGTAGAGCTGGAACTTGGGTGCTCACCCCCTAATTCCTGCCTAGGCCTTTCGTTCTAGAAAAACAAGCCTCTCCTGGCCTCTCCACTTGTTTTCCTAACTGGTTTCCATTAGTGCGGTGCCGCCCTCAGACAACGTCTCCACCCCGTCCTGGTCATCCTTAGCGGTCCGGCCCTGCTGCCCATCCAGCTCACGTGTCCTGCTCCTCACAGAGGAAGAGCATCCAGGCAGTGTGGAGAAGCAGGCTGGAGGCAGAGATGGCCTAGCCCCTGGCTCTCCAGGCCGGGAAAGGACCCGGATTTGGGTGCAGGACTGAGAGGGCAGTAGGGTTCATCTCCCAGTTCTGAGCTAGAAGGAGCCTGAGACCCTGGTCCACACCTCTGAGGGACCCAGGCACAGGAAGCCTCTCCCAGACCCTCAGCTTGTGGGTTCCCAGCCGCAGCCCTGCTTGCTGGGGGTGGGGCTCAGACTCCAGTAGGCAAGCTGCAGGACACAGGCCAGAAGCTAATGTCTGGGAGAGCTCCTGCAAGAGCCACGTGGGGCCTGCTGACCCCCTCTCCCTCCCTGCTTCCAGCCAGCAAAGCCAGGATGGGCAGCAGAGACTCTTGCCTGCCCATCCTCGGCAGGAAATAGCACAGATGAGAGCAGAGGCCCAAGGGCAGCCTGGGCTGCCCGCCAGGACCTTGCCCCTCCCAGAGCCCCTGCTGCTCTCCCCAGCCCCGTCCCCCTTGGCTGCTTACTCCTCTGTGGACATGCAGCCTTGCATCTCAGCCCCACCCGGCCTCTGCTCCTTCAGGAAGAAGACCACAGACCTCATAGTGCTCTGGCCAAGCCTCAGCCCAGGACCCTGGACCCACCTCCTCTTCTAGGGCGTATCGGGACACAGGG